CCCATCAGAGTACATGATTATTTTACTCCTTGGATTGCATAGGCTATAAACCTTGGAGTAGTCTTAACTTTTCTTCATAGTATTGTCCCCCCTCCTTCAGAGGGGCTTTTACTGCTCAGATTAGCCCTCAAAGTCATAATTTCTTTAAGTCTCCACTCTCTCAAATGCTAGGAATATTGGAGTTGTTTTGTCTAGTTCTATGTGATCTTGACACAAGGTAGAATTATCTGTCAAGTGGGAACCTTAATTGAGAAAAGGACTCTATAAGTTCAGTCTGTAGACAGGCCTGTAGGGCAGTTTTAAATTAATATTTGATAGAGGAGGGCCCCATCCTTTGGAGGTGGTGCCACCCTTAGGCTTATGGTCCTGGGTTTTACAAGAGAACAAGCTAAGCAAGCCATTACATAGCACTCCTTTGTGGCCTCTGCATCATTTCCTGCCTGCAGGTCCATGCCCAGTTTGAGTTCTTGTCTTGGCTTCCCTCAATGGACTGTGACTCCAGATATGAGAGCTAATTAAATCCTTTATTTCTCCAACTTGCTTTTGATGATGGTATTTTGCCACAGCAACACCAACCCTGACTAATACCGTAGTGCATGAACAAGCTGCACCCCTTTACTTGGCACAACTAAATCTAACACCCAGAACAGTGTCTGGTGGATATATCATGTCCAAAGCAACGTTAGAAAAAAAAATTTTGTTGGGGGTTTGCTTACAGTTTCAGGAGGTTGTTTTTGACCATCATGGCAAGGAGTATGATACAAGCAGACAAGGCATTGAAGCAGTGGTTGAGAACTTGTCATCCTCATCTGTAGGCAACAGGGTGAGAGAGAGGGAGACTTGTGCCCACATTCAGTGATACATCTCCCCTCACAAGGCCATACTTTCTCCAAAAAAGCCATACCTCATAGTCTTTCCCAAGTAGTTCTATCAACTGGGGATCAGTATTTCAGAATATGACTCTATGAGGGCCATTCTCATTCAAAGCAACACAGTATAGATTCTGGACCAGCACCCACTTGTTACCAGGTAACCTACTATGTAATTGCGTGGTGTTCCACTTTAGTGTCTTAGTGTGGCCACAAGCTCAGAATTCTAGGAGCTCTTTGGTTTTTCCTTTGGTTGTAGATTTGATCCTTTATAACACAGATCCATGTTCTTTCATGCAGCTTTATATTTACAGATGGCTTAGATTAATTAAGTATAGTCAGAAACCCTGATTATGTCAAATTATTAGAATTGGGGAACATTTTTTATAGCTTTAACAGAAATTTTTTTCTTTTTTCCTTTTCTGAAAAATTATCATTGTGAATACATTCCAGAAATAATTTGGGTCATTCCTTGTCTTCCTGTTCTTTTATTTCATACTGTTATTTGCTATATCAGTGTTCTGCTTTGACATTATTTTCTACTAATTTTGTTTACTTTTGGTGCTGGTTTTTATTTTTTTTAAAACTTTAGTGACAGAGATTGACTTAGCATCCTTGAATATAGACAAGTATAGAAAAATCAGAGGAAAACATCCTCTTTCTCTGATATCTTCTCTCCACCTCCCCCTCTTTTACAGAGTTTTGAAAATTGCATTGCATTGCTGACAAGAAAAGTGTTGTGGGTACCAAGTAGGGAGTGGCAAGGGAGTGAAAAGAAAACCTTTTAAACCTGACGTTTTGACATGAACTGGTTCCAGCTGAGTGACTCTATACTAGAAAGGTTGACTGTTTTATGTTTTCTAGTTTTTAAAAACTAGAAAAAGTGTTTCTCTTTCTTTTTATCTCTGTTTCCCGCTTTATTTCACATTTCTAAACAATCTTAAGTTTTGACAGTAGAGTCTTGCTGGTCAGATTTAGTGTTTAAATATCAAATATAAGAGTTACTACCATGTATTTCAACCAGCAGGAACTGAGACCCCTGTTGGTGTCTTAATCCAAAACCAGTATTTTAAATTCACATAAGCCTTGCCTTAAGGATGGAGAAAAGACAATTTAGGCAACAGCATGAGGTTAAACATATTGATCTGTAGTCCAATAGTCCTTGCTATTCTTGGGATAGAATATAAAAGTAGAAAAATAACATTATCAACAAAAAAAAAAGAATACTTCTCCAGAGAGAAACTCTTTCCCTTCTTGCTCTTGAGATTATAATTATAACATATATTCCTTTTCTTTTCAAAATCTCCCATGTACTACTGTCTGTTCTCTTTCAAATTCGTGGCTTTTCTTTTTTTACTGTCACTGTAAATATATGTTCCTAAATATAGTCTGTTCAATCTGTATAATGTTACTTGTATATATGTTTTCTGGGTTGAACATTTGGTACTGGACAAACAATTGGTGTGTTTTTCCCTAGGGAAGACTATTTCTCATTCTCTGAGCTTTTTTTTTTTTTTAAATAGGGTTGAGTCCTTGTCAGCTTTTCACTATTCACTTTGGAATGCCCATTAGTATTGTCCTCTTTTGACTCAATTATGACACACACTCTTGTTGGTGACAATTTAGCTCCTGACATTACTAGGAAATACAATCTCAGAGCATATTTCCTAATCCTCTGGCTCTGATCCATTGTCCCCACTTCTGCAGTGTTCCCTGAGCCTTAGGAATGGGAATGTTTCATCAATATTTATTGATGCTGGGCCCTACAACTCTGCATTCTGATTAGTTGTGACAAATTTGTAGTTCTCTCCATTTGTTGCAAAGAAATCATCTCCATCTTTTGCAAAGAGAATTTTCCTTGATATAGGGTGAAGTCTATACTTACCTGTAGGTATAAGGACTAATGTTTAGATTATTCTTAGAGACCAGTTTGCTCTAGTAAATTAGTAGATCTCCTCAAATAACTGTGACTTTACTAATCACCAGGCATGGGCCCCATCTTGTTGAGCAGTTCTCAGTTCCAGTTAGACACCGTTCGTTACCACCACCATCAGCTGCCACAACTGCACCTATAAGGTGGGCTACAGTGCCAGATCAGTCTTGTGGTTCACAGGAATTGCAGCTGGGTGGGGCTGTAGGTTACCTCTTTTCTTGGAATGCTTCTGTTATCATGAAAACTATTCCTTTGGGAGGGGATATTCAGGCCAGTTCTAACTCAGGGGTCTCTGGGACCTGTTTCTGATCTACCTGATGTCTTTTTGGAGGTAAATCAAGGGCAATAGCAATAGGCTGCATGTTTTAGCAGCCCCTTGATAGCCTTGGCCATGTTAGAGGAGTTCTTCATGTGTCTGCTATTATGGATTTTGTTAGGGGTCTTTCGCTCTTGTCATGACTACTGTCTGTCTAGATAAGAAAAAAATCCACTAAAGCTATTTTTGTATGTTTATACATAGAATTAGTATATTAAAGAATTTTTGATTGTTTTATATCTTCTTTTTGGCAAATAGTTCAGTAGTTCTTGCTAGACTTGGAGTAAAATGTAGACATAGAACAAAAACGCTATCACCACCACCACAAAAACAAAACATTTCTTTTCTAGAGAGGAAAACCTTTTCCTTTTTAAAATATGGATTTGTAATGATGAAAAGGTGACTTTAATCCAGGGATTAAAAATTAAGAATATAAATGTTGTAGAATATTACTATGTAAAGGTGTGTTACTTTTGTTTATATTGCATTCATTTAACAATATAAGGATGCTTGTTTAATTATGTAAGAATATGCTATATCTGTTTCATCTTGCCTGCCTAAGGCTCTTGATTGGTCTAATGAAAAGGTGCCCAGCCAATATTTAGGCAGGAGAAAGGATATGCGGGGCTAACAGGCAGAGGGAATAAATAGGAGAAGAACTCTAGCCTCAGGAAGAGAAAGAAGAACAAGTGGAGAAGGAGGAGAGAATGAGAGGCATGCATTGAACAAGAAGCCAGACATATGCCAGCCAGCCATAGAGAAGGAGTGAAAGTAAGATATATAGAAAATGATAATATGCCCTGTGACAAAAGGAAGAGAAACAGGTGAAAACACGTTGAGTTAAAAGAATTAGCTAGAAAAGTAACTAAGCCAGGCCAAACATTCAAAACTAAGTTGCTCTGTTATGGGAGGTGGTTGGTGGCCTAAACAGAGAAAAGCCTGGTACATTTAAAAGTAGGAATTAATACTTACTTGAAGTGAAAAAATTGATTACCCAACTTCTATTACATATTATTGTGTTTACTAAGCTATATAATTTATGTTAGTACAATATACTGTTACGGGAGGTCCTTCCACTCCTCCAGCCAATAGCTGTTGAGATACGAGCCCATTGGGGCGTGGACTCTCTCCCTTTAAAAAAGCGGCCACTTCCCTTCTTGCTCTCTCTTACTTCCTGTTCTGCTTTGGCTACTAGACTCCCTTCCTGATTGCGCAGAGGGCTGTTGTCTGGGAAGGTGATCTGTAAGTTTTTTCCCCTTTAAATAAATAACCATTCTATTAATCATAATTCTAAACTGGTGTGGGATTGTTTTTGACTTACGCCTTCGCCTTCAATATACAGTAAGTTTGAATTTTTGTAAAAGTATAAGAGTGATTGCTTGACAAATTAAGGTCTTGTGCTTACTTAGACAATGCCCATTACCAAGTTTTTTTATTTTCATGTTTTGCAGCAGACTTACCATTCCATTTAGGACCGTTTGATTTAGAGGTTTTGGGGAATTTTGGTTCTTTTGAAAAATGGAAAAATTATTGAACTATTTTTTTATTAATCACATGATAATAGATGTTTATAATTTTCATTCTGGTTATTTTCTGTTTGTATAATATGTAATAGAATGGTATTAAACAAGACTTTCAGCCATACATGAAGTTTCATGAAGAGATAATTTTGTTTTCTTAACATCAGTCTCCAAATAAGTGATACATAATTTTACAGAAGCTATATATGTCTATACATGTAATATTTTACTTACAAATTATTTTATTAGGCTTTCCTGTGAGAGAAAATATTTAATAATTGGAATAAAGCTCATTTTTTTCTTTCCTGCTTCGTTTTAAATGTTGGCAATGGCTGTAAGTCTCTCTGTGTGATCTGTTGTAGGTAGCTTGTATGCAGCTCATAAATGCTCTTGTTACATCTCCTGATGATTTGGACCTGAGGCTTCACATCAGAAATGAATTTATGCGTTGTGGATTGAAAGAGATATTGCCAGTAAGTGCCCTGTAGTCTCCTCATTAATATTTAAATTAGAAGTGTACTTGAGTGGGGGAAATTTAGATAAATTACTCTCAAGAATAATTCATCTGTGGGAAAAGACTTGAGTATAAAAATCTAGTTTTGAAATATAGATGATAAGGTTTGAGTATTATTTAACACTTTAAGTATTTGAATTCTGCAGGTTACGTTTGAATGGTTGGTTTATTGTTCAGGTTCTTGATTACTCATACTGAGAATCTAACCTTCATAATTTTTATCTAATATCTATAGAACTTAAAATGTGTTAAGAATGATGGCCTGGACATACAACTTAAAGTTTTTGATGAGCACAAAGAAGAAGACTTCATTGAGTTCTCTCATCGCTTTGAAGATATTAGAGCTGAACTTGAATATCCTTTTGCTCTCAGTCCTAGTCAAAAATTATGTAAAATTACTTTTACATCTAAAATCATGCACCATATCCCATAAAACATTAAGGTCATTCCACAGAAATGAAATGAAATCAGAACTTTATGTGTTAAGAAAGTGTCACTATTTTATTAGCTAATTTTTTTTGTCAGTACATATATGAAAAACAATGCTTCAATTAGTAAAGTGATTAACTTAGACCAGATTGTTACATATATGTACAATCTGTTGTTTTTTATGTATATTGTTTTTCTCCTTTGTAGCATCGGATTTGAGATAGCCTCAACCCATTAAATGCCCCTTTCTCCATGATGGATGCATTCCTTGGAGACCTCATGTAAATTGGTGGATCTGCTAGAATCCTATTTTTTTACTATGGCTTCTCATTGATGCACACTATCCCTGCATCTGTACCCGTTGTTCAGGGCATCCTTAGAACTTAATGTTTTCCTCATCCGTTGCTGGCTTTGTTCCCACTGTCTTCTTCAGTGTGGGTACAGTTGATTCTGAGGGATAAAAAAGTTTCAGGTCAAATTGCCATACCTGGCATTCTCTACCCTCAGTTCCTTGATAGATCTTTAATAAAACAGTTTCTAGACAGTTGTTTGCATACCAGTCTTCTAAACCTGGATCCAGAAGATACTGGGTATTATTAGCAGTTTGGTATAGGGTTTGAATAAATTCTTGTGGTCCTTAACCAGTGCACTGAAGCAGCTGATGTTTATGACATGGTGTGGTCCACAGTTAAGAACACTAGAGCAGAGGGATATTTTGTTTCTATTCTTCAGCACCTTTTGCTCATTCGAAATGACCATTTTATAAGGTAAGGGAAAGCTGTGTTCTGTTGTTTAATTGATAAAACTATTAGTTGTGAAATTCATCTATATTTTATTAAGACAAGCAAGTTATTTTTATTTCTTTCATAATGGTCTATAGACTGTTTTCTTTGGTCATATATTTAGATAAATGTGGATATAATGGCATTACTGTTAATTTTTCAACTCCAGAAAGTTCTTGGTTGTATCCTTTCCTTTGAAATGAGAGTTGAAGCCATGTCTCTTATTGTCCTTATTCAGCAAGTTTAGGCAACCATGTTGTTTAAACTTTGAGTGTGTCTTCTTCTGTTATTAGGAGACACATCTCATAGCAAACTCCCTGATATCTTGCTCTTAGAATCTTTCTGTCCATCTTCTATAGTGATCCTTGAACCTTAGGTAGGAGAATGTTTTATTGATCCATGGGATCAATATGGGTAACATTCATATTGATCAGGTTATATTTAGAAATATGTGTATATGTCATGTATTTGAAAGAATAAACAGGGGGTATGTTGGACCGAGGGGAAGGGATAAATGATATATTTATAATCTCAAAAAATAAAAGAAAAAAGTGAAAACCATTGCCAGCTTACTACTTATTATATAATGTATAATATTTTGTGGTTATTTCTTAATCACCAGGAATGCTATTGATAGGTTGCTTTTTATAAAGTTGATTATGTCTTGGCTGTCTGAGCTTGACAGGTTGTTTTGTTTACCTCACATAGAACATAATGTGATTCTAAGTAAACATGAGTACCCAAATGTGGTTCTTGATGAGTAGCCACGTGATTGTACTATAAAGTTTATATATGGTTATGTAAATAAGACTATTGAATTTCTGCATCTCACAGTAAATATTCTTTTCATTTCTTTTATTTTTTAGTTTTATCATCCTGTCTAGTTTCTCCCCCATCCTCTCCTTCCATTTCACCCCCATCCACTTTTCCATTTCTCTTTTGAAAATCAAAGACCTTTTTTTTTGCCAAATGGCCTTGATATCACTTTCCACTTTTATTAGTAGTTTCTAAGGTTGTAAAATATAAAGTCATTTATTATCATTTTAGTTTTGCAGAAAGTTTATTCATACATGGTTGGGGGAGTTGGACTTTCTGTACCAAATTTATATAAGATTTACAGGAAAGCCTTATTTAGGTAGCAATACCACTGGGTGATAGTGGAGGGTTTAAGGCAGGGTCATTTGCTCTACTAGACAACACAGAAGAGAAGGGCAAATGAAACTTCACATCTTCATTGTGGTTGTTCTCCATGCATCAAACTGTTGTTGTCACTGTAGTTCCTGTGAATAGTCTAAACTTGACCAGCAATCTGTTTTGTTGTTTAATGTGCTGTTTTCTGGTACTTTATTTAAAATAGACTTAATAGTTAAGCATTGGTAAATGCTACATAAACCTACTAATTGATTGCATTTAAAAATATTAGTGTACCTTTTTAATTACTGTGTTGTGTTTCTATTCTAAATTCATGTAAAAGGCAAATGAGACTTCTGTATAAAGTATGNTCTCTGGTTGGTAAATGCTGCTTGAGTCACCATGAATTCAGGGCCATTGTTAGCATTTTTAAATGTTCTTTCCTCATGTTGAAGCTGAAGCAGTTTTATTCACCATTATAATTGATGCCTTAAGCATAAGTTAACTTGTACAAAGATAGTGGTACCCATGCATGGTTCATTGAAAGAAAAGCTGATATGGCTAGAAGGGCCATCACATTTGAAGAATATGGTTTGGAGAAAAAAGGCAAAAACTCTATAAATCACTGAGAACGGAAATCAATTCACAAGTGATGAGTAATGTGGGGTTCCTCATTATAAACCACCCTGCTGCCTGAATTGCCTTTACCCACAATTTTTATCTATTGCATTTTCTTCACATTGCCTTAAGTTAAGAGATGTTACTAAGTTGTCAGGAATGCAGATGGAATCAGTTGTATTAAGAATACATTCCTTTTTAAAACTTTTAGTTAAACTTTGGCCTTTCTACTTTGTTATATTAAAGTTTTAGTATTTCATGTAAGATATATTAATTTGGTCTATTATTATTTAGAATATCAAATTTGAATCTCCACAAAATCGTTATATGAAGCTCCAGTAGAAATTTTAGACAAACTTATTGGTGGTTTGATTTGCATTTATGAATTGGTGGTATACTTTGAGATGGCTCTAAGGACGTATCTCATCTTCATATTATCTTTTTATTTTAATGCAAATTAATTAAATGTCTGACTTATAGGAAAATCATCCTCAATGAATAGTACATTTCCTGATACATTAAAAATATGGCATGGCCTCATTAGAGGAGTTTCCCATGCTATGCTATACCTCCTGTTGAAATGAAACTGAATAAAATTTTCACTTGAAGTCAGATTTCCATCAAGTATATGGTTTGATGTAAAGTTATACTCTTGAAGTGACTGTTAATTTGCTCTTTGGTTTTAGACAACAGTACTTCAAACTAATTGATGAGTGTGTGTCACAGATTGTATTGCATAGAGATGGAATAGATCCAGACTTCTCATACAGAAAAAGACTAGATTTGGACTTGGGTCAGTTTCTAGGTGAGTATTTCTGTTATTTGTGTAGAACTATCTTGTTGAGTTTAGAATCATGGGTTGGCTCTAAGGTATTAGTTTCCTTCGTTTGGTTGGAGATCCTCTGAGGGCCTTTGATTCTTTCATGAAGTCTTAAAGGTCAAAGCTGTGTCTATAACTACAGCATACAAAGCTTTTCTTGATTTTTTTTTTTGTGTGTTGGTTTCTAGAACTGATGTTTCCAAACAGTAAACAGTTAACCCAGTTACCACAATATTGGCACCCAATATTGGTGGCAGGCATTGTATTCTTTTCTTTGGTAGGTGGAACCAAGACATTAGAGAAGTTTTTGACATCCTAATATTTATTAAATATTCCTATGAATGCCCTTTTAATATTATGCTGCACAATGAGTACATGCATTTCAAAACATATTGAGAACACTTGCTTCATTTGAATTATAAGTAAATCTGGCTTATTTCAGTCTTTTTTTTTAAGCATTTCTGTGTTTGTGTAGTGTTTATGTTTGTGAATGATTGTGTGGTGTATGCACTGGTGTGCATGTGGGTTAGTGCAGGGAGGTTGAGTCGCGGCTGAATCTCCAGCTTTCATTTGTTGGCTATTTTGGCAACGATGCTCCAGTAATCCCCTTTGTCTCTATTCTCTATGTTGGGGTTATGGGCATGTATGGAATGTTTTTATGTGTGTTTTGTTACATACTTGCCCAGCAAGCACTCCTAGACACTATGCCATCTCTTCAGCACTCTTTCTGACATATAAACCTCTTACTCTATGTTAAAGTGTCTTGTCCACATTTTTAGATTTAATTTTATTTTATGTGTGCAAGAGTTTTGTCCAAGTCCATGTTTGTGAATCTTATGCTCACCTGGAGCTTGCAGAGGAAAGAAAGAGGTAATGGAGCTCTCGGAACTTTAGTTAGAAGAACCTGTTTGAATCACACTCACACACATACTTACTCACACCCCAATCTGAGTCTTCTGCAAGTGCTCATAACTCCAGAGTCATTCTTCTAGTTCCATTGAAAGATGAAATAAAATAAAGATACATGTCAAAGAAAATGACTTTCAGAAATTGTAGCAAATAGATATGTAGAATTTTTCAGTCAGAATTTGAATTTTGAATGCTTATGTTTACCTGTTAGTTTGACAACTTCTGAATACTAAATGTTTCTCTCTGTCAAGATCAGTGGAGATACTAACCTCTATGATTCTTTTAGTATTGTGTACAGAGATATGCCAAGATTTTGAAGATGTGCAAGGTTCAGCAAACTAAAGTTTTTTAAGGTCCAGTGCTGACTGATACATACTTAGCACAGACAACAAAGATCTCTACTCACAGTACATCCTCAAAGAAAGATCTCAAAGTTCCAAAGCTTCACTTACGTTATTCCACAGTCTATCTACTTAAGTAGCAGCACTTACTCAATTTTGGTATAACCTCAATAAAAGATAATTGATGATATGAAAAGGCTATGAAAACATATCACCTCTTTGTAACTGTGGCTTCTGCAAGGTGGGTGGAATGTTTTCTGGAAGAAAGGAACTCGAGACAGTGGCATTTCGAAACAAAACTTTTGTTTTCTTTGTAGATTAAGTTAAAATTCCCGAGAGGCAGCAGGAGTTTTATAGTGAGAATAAAAGGATACTATAGTTATCAGAAACCTGAAAGGTGAATATTTAGAGCTGTATAGGTAGACAGTTTTCTCACTTAAATGTCAAAAATTTAGAGTTGCATGGGTTGTAATTGTTTTAATCTTTTATAATGGAAAATGACCTAAATTGCCAAAAATTTACAAACCATGATGTAGTATTTTAAATAAAATAATTAGCAGAATAATGCAATATAGCAAGATTATAAGTTGCATTTAGAAAATGAAACTGATAGTTTGTTTTACTCTTTTTCTTGTTACATGATTTTTTTTTTCTTCCGAGACAGGGTTTCTCTGTGGCTTTGGAGCCCGTCCTGGAACTAGCTCTTGTAGGCCAGGCTGGTCTCGAACTCACAGAGATCTGCCTGCCTCTGCCTCCAGAGTGCTGGGATTAACATGATTTTTTATTAAACTTGTTTAAATATTGGTTATATTAAAAATCTTATGAGGTACATTATGGAAAATAAATTTGAATAATTTGTCATATCTAGTATTCTACAAACAGATGTATATAATTATTTTGCATAACTTCAATTTAATTTTTTTTACTATAATTTTAGATACTTGCATAGATCAGGCAAAACTAGAAGAGTATGAAGAGAAAGCATCAGAGCATTGCAAGAAAGTAAGTAACCAATTTCCTCTGCAGAACTGTGGGAGCTGCTACTGGTGTTGCTTTTTCAGAGTACTTGGAACTCCTGTGACAAGACCTTGCTCCATGGAGTACTATCTAAACCATTTTGCTATTGGGAGTACTCTCCATGTTCTTTTCTTCCATTGTTCATGTGTAGGGTCTATGAGTCAAGTTAAATAAAAAAATACTCAAAAGATTTTTAAATAGTAATCTTTCAATGTATATAAAAGACCTTTCTCAAGGTTACCTGCTTTCTTAAAGCCAGAAGTTGTTTACATTGCATATATTAAGAAAATGCTTTTGCCTCATAAAAATTTCTAGTGCCATATCAACTTGCCGTATATCAGCAGAATCTTTGCTCAGATAGCTTTGTAAGGATGCATGTAAATACCTTGCTTTAGGCAGGAAGCTATCAGAGTTTCTAAAAGTACATTTTTTATTTAGGTGCATCAATTTGAAAAATGAAGAGCAGAAATGTCAGAAAGTATATGCAATATATTGAATTATCAACCTTCTTGTACAGAGACACTAATACATTTACCCCAGGGAATGAAATTGAGTAGAATCTCAACTCTAACAGTGTTCTTGACATTTCTGTGTGTAATTTTGTAAGTGTGATGTCGCTCCAGCAAATTTTTGGAAGTGGGCAGGGGGAAGAACACTGTCGTACCAGTTTTCCTAAGGTGTACTTTAAACAGACACTGGTTTATCCCCAAGGCTGCCTTGATTTGATTGGAGATATTTCACAAATGCTAAAATAAGGCATTTGTCTCTTTAGCCAAGTCAGTTTAATAAGTTTCATAGACTATATAAACTATAACCTTCTTGATTTCTTTTTGTTATCTCACAAGTAAATTATCTCCCTTTGTATTTTGATAGCCCATTTTCCATTGTCAGAAAGCCTCTTTACTGTTACTTTTATTTAGGAAGTTTTTTGTTCCTTTTTTTTCTGCATTTAAGTTGTGAACTTTAATATAAAAATGAGAAAGGAATTTTGGATGTTGAAATATTTAAATGATGATATATGTAGCCATCAATGTCTAAAGAAAAATTTGCCAGAAGTTGGCTCATCACTTCATTTAATAAATATTTACTTAGTTTATTTTAAATTTAAGGCAATTAAAGGAGATAAGGTAGAAAAGATTTTTACTTTTGTTAGCTTACAAATAGAGTGCCATTAAGGTGAGAAACATTACATGATATTATATATATATGGCAATGTGAAAATTCATGTGTTAGACAAATCTCATTTGGTGTGTAAGCCTACAAAAGAGGTCTCATTTAGCTTTGGTTAATGAGAAAAGAACTAATGAAGGAATTAGTATCCCTGAGTTGTGAGGAATCAATGTACAGTATCTAGTTGAGATTTCTAAGGAGCAGGTACATTTATGAATATCTTTGGGATTTCTAATTGGTATCTTTAGCTTAGCATGTCTCCTGTAGTTTGGATATGGTGTAAATGCACCCCTCTGAAGTCTCAGGGGTAAAAAGTTCTCAGCATAACTCTGGCACTTGTGAAATGTACAGCGATGACAACTGGTTAAGTAAGATTTAGGTAGTGCTCTTTCTTCGTGTGATCCTCCTGAGAGGCATAGGATCCTTGATAAAGGCTCAACCTCAACTTCTCTCCTCTTCTATGCTACTTCCTGTTTAACAGCCCTGCCATGACTGTTTATGCCATGAGATGATATAGCCAAGTGTTAGACTTACCATAGACTTTGTTCAGTGAATTTTGTACTTTGAAACTTTGAAGTTGTAAGCTGAACAAACCTCCTCTTTTCTAAGTAGACTGTGTCCAGTATTTACTTACAATGATGCAAAGATGCTTTATAAAACATTATTAGTAAATACTAATAAAGCAAAACTTAACTTTTCTAATAATACTTTTCTTGTATGTGTTTGATATTTTTTCTTGTTATATTATTATAATTTTCCAGCCTGAAAACCACAACATACTTATATTTATTTTATACAATACACATCCATAAGTCCAGCCCTTCAAAAAGCACTAAAAGAAAAACTCCAACCCCAGGAAGCTAGCTATACCCACAAAAACACAAGCAATAGATATTCCCACACCAGCAAAACCTAAAGAAGGAAACACACATAATACCACCACCAACAACAAAAGCAAAAAAATAGGTACTAACAATTACTGTACATTAATATCTCTTAATATCAGTGGTCTCAATTCACGTATAAAAAAGATACAGGTTAACAGAATAGATACAAAAACAGGAACTATTTTGCTGCATACAAGAAACACAGCTTAACTTCAAAGACAGGCATTACCTCAGAGAAAAGGGTTGGGAAAAGTCTTTCCAATCAAATGGACCTAAGAAACAAGCTGGTATAGCTATCTCAATAGTTAACAAAGTAGACTTCAACTAAAGTTAATCAACAGCGATGAAGAAGGACTTTTCTTATTTGTCACAGGAAAAAACTGTCAAGATGAAGCCTCAATTCTGAACACCTATACCCCAAATACATGGGCACCCACATTTGTAAAATAAAGATTACTAAAGCTTAAATCACACATCAAACCCCACTCACTAATAATGGGAGAGAGACTTCAACACCCCACTCTCACCACTGAACAGGACCGCCAGACAGAAACTTAACAGAGAAATAAAGGAACTAACTCAAGTTTATGGCTCAAATGGATTTAATAGACATCTATAGAACATCCCACCTAAACACAAAAGAATATATCTTCTTCTTTGCACCCCATGGAATCTTCTCAAAAATTAACCATTTGCTGATTAACAAGGCAAACCTCAACAGATAGAAAAGTATTGGAATAACCCCCTGTATCTTATTGGATCACCATGCCTTAAAGTTAAAATTCAACAACAATACTATTTCAGAATGCCCACAAACTCATGGAAATGGAACAATGCTCAGCTCAATCGCCTCTGGGTCAAAGATGCAATAAATAAATTAAAAGACTATCTAGAATTCAATGAAAATGAATACACAACATACCCAAACTTATGGACTAACTTGAAAGCATTGCTAAGAAGAAAGTTCATAGCACTAAGTGCCCACATAAAAACCTGGAGAAATCTTACACTAGTGACTGAACAGCACACTTGGAAACGCTAGGACAAAAGGACGCAGACTCACCCAGGAGGAGGAGACGCCAGAAAATAATCAATGTGAGGGCTTAAATCAACAACATAGAAACAAAGAAAGCAATGCAAAAATGAATGAGACAAAAAGTTGGTTCTTTGAGAAAATCAACAGCATAGACAAACCTTCATACAAACTAATCAAAAGGCATAGAGTATGCCAATTAACAAAATCAGAAATGAAAAGACAGACAAAACAGAGGAAATCCAGAGAATCATCAGGTTATACTTCAAAAACTACTCCACTACTTTGGGAAATATAAAGGAAATGGACAATTTTTTGGATAGGTACCAGATACCAAAATTAAATCAAGAACAGATAAATTTTTAAGTAGACCTATAGCCCCTAGGAAAATGGAGGCAGTCATCAAAAATCCCCCAACCAAAAAAAGCCCAGGGCCAGATGGTTTCAGCGCAGAATTCTGCAAGACTTTAAAAGAAGAGCTAATACCAACACTCCTCAAATTGTTCCACATATTAGAAACAGAAGGAACAATACTAAAATCTTTTGACGAAGTTACAATTACCCTAGTACCCAAACCACAGAAAGATACAACTAAAAAAGAATTACAGACCAATTTATCTCATGAACATTGATACAAAAATACTCAGTGAAATACTGGCAGAATGAATCCATAAACATTTCAGAAAAATCATTCACCATGATAAAGTAACTTTTCTAATTTAAGGAATTTTGGTTCTGAAACCTAAATATGCCTTTTATACTTTAAAGATTAAAGAATGGTGATAGGGTTGCCATGCAGAAGTGAGGCCCTGAGACTGTTTCATTTCTGCTTGTTTCTGGGAATGTAAACTACTTTAGCAGGTTATTAAAGTTGTTAAGCATTCATTATAGGACTGTGCTGTGATTTCAACTGAGTAACTCAGGTTGTGGAAACAGGAAATGTGACTTTTTTAAAAAAAAAACTCAAGTCTGTCACTTGACACAGCCTCTTAACTGCCTTCCAAGTTATAGAGAAAGTAACACACACACACACACACACACACACACTCACTAATGACATAGAGTAGTGCAGTCTGGAGACACATAGCAGTTTCATCTTTTTGTTTTTTGTTTTTTACCCAAAGTGCTGCATGCTTGTTCTCGATTATGAGACAATAGTCTATTTAAATTCAGTTCCCTCAGGATAGGTTTTGAGTCTAGATGATGGCAAAGTGAGTCTATTTGAATACTACATAGCAGATTGTGATTAGTGGATATATAAATTAGAAAACTCATTGGAACACCAGATTTTATTATTTGCCTTCCTCCAAGAAAGTGTTTTACCAGGGACTTTGAAAACTTAATTTATCCTTAATTTCTGTAAGACAGTGGGAGGCATGGCATAAGAGAAACCAGCCAAACAGTTGATGTTTTTATGGAATGAAGTTGTGAGCCATTAGTACTATTAAAACTGCCCTTTTAAATCATACTGATGAACTTCCGATGTGTTTCAAGTGCTAGGTTCTGCAGGTGGAGTGTAGCATCGAAGGCAATGCAGTGCTAGGCTTTCTGTTGCTTTATTCACAATCGCTATGATATTCAGGGACTTTTAAGAAAAATGCCAAGGTCGTACATAACTATGGGCCTGTTTGCTCTGTTGGGAATAGAAGGTCATGGGCTCCTGTATCAGGTTTTGTCTCTTCCCTTCTGAATAAATGATTTTGGAGGGACCTGGAGAGACTTAGAGAAAGGCTGGTGGGCGACTTGTGAGGGCTCTGCCACTCCTTTCATGAAACCAATTCAGGAGTGTTTTATTGACAGATCATTAGAGCCATATTTTCATGCGAAGAATAGTGCTTTTCATTTCGATCTCTCCCTCTCCTTTATTCCTTTTTAGTTTGAAAAAGAGTTTACTGACCACCAAGAAACTCAGGCTCAGTTGCAGAAAAAAGAGGTAAAGATTAATGAGCTTCAAGCAGAGTTACAAGCTTTCAAATCTCAGGTAAAATACCATCTCGAGTGAAATTGATTTCAAAATCATACCAGGGAAACAAAGGTCATGTTATATCTTCACAGCCTCTCAAAATGTTTAAACTTTAGTTTTTCTCGTATATTTTGTCCGTATTAACCATCTGCATCTCTATGTTGCGGTTTTTATACTTTAAAGATATTCTTTGTCACCTTTTTCCTGCTTGTGTTTGTGGGAATACCCAGTCTTTTACTGATTACCTGGCTTCCTTATGCTTCATTTGGATTTTGCTTCTAAAATGCACTGTTTCTCCTAAGTAATTAAGTGGAAAGGTTAAGAAAGTCCTTTACTCTTTCATTTGTCATCCATCACTGATCTTTATCCCACTACGGGAAATTATTGCTCAACCTATTTCTTCAAACCTTCAGCCTATGAGTTGCCTTGCCGTGAAAGATAACCACTAGCTGAATGAGAACATTTTCTGATAATTTTTCAATTTCCAAAAGTAAACAGATTTAAAACATGACAAAAAGGAGCAAATCTGGATTATGAGCAGATAGTTCCTATATATGCTGTACTTGTAAGACCTAGATAAGAAATACCTCATCTACATTCTTTGTGTGGATTGTAGGGGCACATTCACACGTAGATTTCCTCCTATCGATTTACATACACGATGATGGGCAATAATTGTAGTGTTCCATTTTTCTCTCATCCTAATTTATGGCTAGATGGAAAGAGGCTCAGGCGTATTGTTCCAGATATTACTGCTAGTTTTGTTTTCTTTTGAATATGCAATGCTAGCTCTGTTACAAATCATCTTTAAGATACTTTGTAAGACAGGTATCTGATTTTCAGAATTAAAAACCTTTGTAAACAAGGAAACTATTAACTACACATGATGCTTTTTGCCTATACCCTTAGGTTTTCAAAGCCTGGAGCAAAAAATTGCTGAGAGTTTGAGGCTAGCCTGTACTACAGACTTGTCTCTGAAAAATAAAAGAGGATCCTATTATCATTGCTTTTTTAACATTGCTGTAAGAAGTATCTGGTATCAGCAAAATTATTTTAAGAATAAGATTCTTTTCTATGAAATAGAGCAGGTTTAAGTGCATCACATGTGATTTACTTAAAGGTACTATCTGAAACAGTTGTAACTGTTCTTTCGGCTAATGTTCAAAATTTTCTTTTAAAACCTCCCCATTTGAAGGATTGCATTTCAGGATCACAAAAATATACCCATGACCTTTTGATAGGTTGCCTTGCATTTTTGATATAAAATGGGGAAAATTTATGCTGTAAAACTAAAATAAAATAAAGGTATCTCCTGTGTTTTACATTTTACACATTGATAGTTGTGTTCATGGCTATTGGAGGAGAACTTGCTTCAGTCACTTAAAAGTACTATGATCATTCTTTTTTAACTATCTAGGATGTTTCTTTATATTTCTTTCCTAAAGCTCTGTAACCTGTTTGTATGTATATTATGTATACACATAGATACATGGGCATATCTATATATACATATTGGTACACTGTTAGTAATTTTAGGAAATTGCCATAAAAAGAGAAATTGCCACATTATAAAAATTAATCCAGAGAAATAGAAAAGATCTCCTGAGTAAATTGGGAGCATGGGGGTCATGAGAGAGGGTAGAAGGGGAGAGTGAAAAATGTATAGCTCAATAAAAGCAATAAAAGACATTAATCCAGAAGGTCTTTTGCATAATTATAAACCATTCAGTAAACTCCATGTATTCTATGAGAATTTAACCGTCAAAATGAGAAATAGATGCTCTGGATTTTTTGCAAGTTCGGATTTGATTTTGTTTCTTAGTGACATTTGGCTCTAGAGAAATTCCCCATCCACCCAAGAAATGAGATACTCTTGATTGTGTCCCTTGCTTGCCTTTTTTTTTTTTTTTTTTTTTTTTGGTTTTTCAAGACAGGGTTT